CTTCCCTTCTTTCTGCTCCTTCGACAACCTCTGATCTGCTTGTGGCACTATATATGCTTTTACATTTTCTGTAACTTCATACAAATGTAATCATTCAATAGGTAGTATGTTTCTTTGCTTAATATAGTTATTTGGCAGCATTTACCAGTAGTTCTTTCTGTTTGTCTAATGGTTGCTGAGTTACATTCCTTTTTCTAGATATATATTATGATGGTAGGGATACATACAGCTCAGCTTGTTTGCCCATTCACTTTTTGATGGCCATTTGAGTTCTCTTACATTTTCTGAGGATGACAAATACTGCTGTCATGAGTATTTATAAAAAGTATCTGCATGCTTTCATTTCTCTTGGATAAATTTATTAAAACGACTTTACTGGGTCATATGGTACATGCACGTTTTGATTTACAAAACCACTAAACCATTTACCAGAATTTCTATTTTTAAAATTTTCATTAGCAGTCCCCGACAGTGCCAGTCTCTCCACAACCTTACCTACACCTAATATCTTAAGTGATTTTAATCCTCATTTCACTAATTATGAATCAGGTTGAGCATATTTGTATGAATTCATTTACTATCAATAGAAGTTCTCTAGAGATGTGTCTGCTTAAGAAATTTGCCTTTGTTTTGGGGGGGTCATAATTTTAGGAGTTTTGAGGGCTCGTATATATATTCTGGGTGTATGTTATGTACTAGATAAAGATTTATCAATGTTTTCTCAATGCTTGTGGTTCTTTCAAAAGTGTGTTTCATAGAAGAGAATGGTATAATTTTAGCAACTCTACAATTTTTTTATGAACTTTCCTTTAGGGAATCATAACTAAAAAAAAAAAAAGTACCTCAAGGTCACAAAGATTTTCTACAAAAGTTTACTTCTAGAAGTTTTATAAAATTAGCCTATATATTTAAGACTTGGGTTCACTTTGGGGTAGTGTTGGTATGTGGTGTGAGGTATAGATCAAAGCTTCCCCCCACCATGATGATATTCAATTGTTTCATCACTATTTGTTGAAAAGATTTTACTTTCTCCACACCTGTTGGAAATTAGTTGTTCATTTTTGTTTGCATCTATTTCTGGACACATTTTATTTTATCTATCTGCCTACCCTTTTGGCAATATCACAATGGCTTGATGACTTTGGCTTTGTAATATCTCTTGAAATAAAATAGTGTCGGTTTAACAGCTTTGCTCTTATTTTTCTTTTTCTTTTTTTTTCTTTTTCTTTTTCTTTTTTTTTGAGTTGGAGTCTCACTCTGCTGCCCAGACTGGAAAGCAGTGGCATGCTCCCGGCCACCGCAGCCTCAACCTGCTGGGCTCCGGCGATCCTTCCACCTCAGCCTTCCAAGTAGCTGGAACTACAGGCGCGCGCTACCACACCCGGCTAATTTTTTGATTTATTGTAGAGATGAGGTCTGGCCAAGTTGCCCAGACGGGTCTTGAACCCGGGGGCTCAGGCAATCCACTCACCTCAACCTCCCAAGGCGTGGGATTACAGGCTGAGCCACCGAGCCCGGCTTGCTCTTATTTTTCAAAGTTGATTTGATTATTCTCATTTTTCTTTAAACTTCACGTGAATTTTAGAGTCACTTTGCCAACTTGTATAGAAAAGTCTGCTGAAACTGCCACTGGAATTGCATTTGATCTCATATTAGGGTGGATATGATATCTTAACAATATTGAATTTTCTGACTTGTATTTAGATTTTTGATAATGTCTCTTGGCAATATTTTATAGATTTCAGTGTATCCGATTTTTATTGCTTTTGTTAGAGTGATACAAAAATGCTTCATATTTTGGTGCTTTTATAAATGGTGCCAACTTCAAAATTAGAAATTCTGATTAGTAGTATACCGAAATATGCTTGTTATTTTTTTTATTCATCTTATACCCTGCAACCTTGCTAGAAACAACTATTAATACTCGTTAGTTCTAGTAGAGGTGGCCCCTTCTCCCC